GATGAATTCTCTTAGTTGGTAATTTTTCCCTGGTTTGGTACATTTTCAAACGCGTCTGATATCACCACAAATATGTTCAATACTCAAAATTGCAGTTTTGTAATGACAACGATTTGAATACTTATACAGCAACCTCATTTTGGTTTTATTTAAACATTTGTGGGTAACACTAAAATTCGATTCTTTTATTCTGTAGGGATCCATAATCTGCTGGCTGATCAACCCCTCCTTGGATCTTGCTCTAGCGCGAGTATATTCTATTATTCTTCTACAGAACCGGCAGCTTACGCGTATAAGAGACTCTGACAGTTATCTCGCCGCGTGCTGTGGTACGTCTTGTGACCTGCTCTGAAGCAATCTGACAGTGGTCTGACAGTTTCCAGCGTCGCTTCCAGCGGAGGTCTGGTCTTCTTTATTATGACACCGATGCCTAAGACTTCTGCCCCGTCTAATATGCATAAATGATCGATGGCCTGTGGGTAAATGATATGAATAATAATGAAGCAACGGGCGGCCCGTGACGTAGAGGTCAGACTGCACGCCTTCCACCGCTAGGGTCCAGGTTCGATCCCAGGCAGTTCCAAGTGGAGTTTGTGATGGACAAAGCAGGTTAGCGGCAGGTTTTTTCGGGATACTCTCGTTTCCCCTGCCAATATACATTCCACGGGTTCGCTCCATCATTCATTCGCTATCCTATCCTATCATTAACTATCATTCCGCTAAGGATCAGAGCGGCGTCTAGGTGATAACCGAGGAACTAGATGAGAAAGGCCGTAGCAACCTCAGCGAGTTCTCGATAGTGTCCCAGCCGGGTGAATTAGAGAGGGGAGAATGCCGAGGGAGTGGAATACGTCCCCTCCCAAGACCCTAGACACGGTTGACTGTGAATGTAATGACTGACGGAGCAAGGGGTACAGATTCGTTGAAGCTGATCCCTGAGGGGAAATACAGAATTTAGATAATGGAGAAGTGGAGAGTGGCTTGCTCTGGAAGCAAAGACATATTCCGGCAGTGGAGACTCTCTGACGGCCACTTATCTCTCTGCCCCGCGCTTTCCCCGACGCGAACAATGCAACGCAGATGAGGTACGGCCCCTCGCTGTAAAAGGCCAAGGAAATACGACGGATGACGTTCTTGCTCCGCTTATAAGAGACCTTTAATACAAAAACCTAGCAGTATCCTATTGTTGGAAAACGAAATAATGCCCATGCCTTCATCAGTCAAATTTAATGCAAAAAAAGTTTGCAAATTATTGTCTAGAGGAAAAGAGTAGACGTGGTGCAACCAACCACACAGGTTACCGTCATGCAGAAGTCAAAAATGATTTAGGTCTCATGCCTTTAATGCCCTACTCCAAAGCACTAGTTGTAGCAAACGTTGGGTAGGAAATGTTCCAAGATGAGTTTCACTAGGAGCCTGCTTTTACTTTCAGAAAATTATTCGCAAAGTGCGCAACGTTTAGGTGGATCCAACAAGTCTTGCATACAAGGGTTGAGAAAAAATTGTAAAACTGCAGCGTTTAGTGCAGATTCTTCGGGAGAAAATTTATATTGTGGGAAGTTGGTCCATAATATCAAATAAGTGAATTTTTGTTCCACTTTTACACAGAAAATTACTTTCTCTGGCAAGTTTTTCAGTCGGAATCCACATTTTGTGAGTCTCTGATACCAAAAAATTTAATTACAACCAAACGTCTCTGAACAGCGCCCGCGCTTAAATTATTCAAGGGGAGTTCTCCAAACTTGGTATTCCCGATCAATCTAGCGGATACGCGGCCTCTTGAATTTGAAAGACACATTGCCTTCACATGAAGCCCCTACGACATTTTCACATTTTTCTGAAAAATGACTCCAAATTTGTTCTTTTTTTGCTTTCTTGAAATGAACAAAGTACGGTAATAAAGAGGGCCCATATCAGATATTGCTTGAAAACGTTTTTTTCCAATAAGTAAAAGCGTTTCATTAATTTCAGTTTTTTTTTTGGTGTTCAGAAATGGTAGATCAGTGCCTTGATACGTCGCCGGCATGAGTTCGCATCCTAGCACGGGCAAATATGCGTGTGTGTTGGAATCACATTCGCAAATTCATCTAAGTTGCAACATTAACACATAATACAACGAACGCATGTTGCAGTTGTACCCCCGTTGCCTTTGACATTGGTGGTTGCGTTAATGGAGCGCGCGCAGGTGTTGGCAGCGTGTCGAGTGACCCCCCATCCGCCCCGCCGCGCCGCGCCGCACGGTGCGAGGTGGCAGGGCCGCGCGTGCTGCGGGCCATCGATCCGCGCTGGCGGGGGCGCGAGGCCTGGGCCCGGGCGCCCCCGCGCGCATGCGCCTTGGCGTAAGTACAACCACGCCCGGCCACACGACCACCCGCCACCGCGCGGGCCGCCGCCGCCCGCCCACCCGCCCGCGATGCGACATCGATGTTGCCAAACATCCGTGTTCAAAATCAAAACATCGATGTTAAATATTCATCGACCAAAAACCAGCGAAGTTTTTAAACATCGATATTTTAAATTTGGTTTAGTAACATCTGACATTAAATTCGCGCTGAACAAAAATTAAATTGGTAATGACTGTGATTATTAATGTATAATTAAAATTTAACTGGAAACAAAGTTATACAACCTCTCTTCATGTGCAAAATACAAGGTAGGACGAAAAAAACCCAGGTTGTCAGGACCATCTCGAACAAGGGATGGTAGTCGATGAAAATGGGGCAAACAGTTCGTTTCTATCAATTACAAGTATTATCAGTTATTGTTTATTATAAGTTTTGCAAAATTCTATTATGAGCAGTTTTCATTCGCGAACAGAACATTGAAAACGTAAAAACAACGAACCCAAAACATCGGTGTTTAAAAAACATCGACATCGATGTCACAAAGCTCAAAAGAGGGAACTAGTGATGCTAAAGTACCCACATACTTTCTCGCATTATTTTGTAAATTTTGATTTTTTGAAAATTCAGGAAGTTTAACGAAAGTGAGACTTATACCATTTTAAGTGTATTTTGCTCTTACCAAGAAAAATATATAAAACATTTGGAGCTTTGATATAATCTCGTTCAAATTGTCTTTATTTCATGCAAAATTACACGAAAACAACTCATAAAAAAGGCACATTACCTCATTTTACGCTGCAGTTTTAAAGAATATATTTTGTTTAAGAAATCTGTCTTCAATATTGTTTTTCAAAGATCCCGAAAACGTTTTACTAATTATGATCATATTTGTGATAAATATTTTTTTAAACTTCTGAAATTGGCGCAAAATCAGATCGGAACCGGACCTGCACCATTTTTTAGAATAGTATTTTCCAATATTCAAGAATAATAAAGAAAAAAATGTAGCTGTTTTTCAGATGAAAAATGAACATGTTTTGGCTTCATGTAAAGTACCTCCAGAAATCATGAGATTCTTCTCTAAGGTTTAGCTTAGTCACTAGTGTTTGTCTTGTCCGTTCGACTTTGAACGACGAATGCATATACAGACTTTTGCTTTAAGCATATTTGTCGGTATCAAGGACTAACAAATTGAGGATTCTGATTACACATGTTAGCGGAATTTATTTCCTACATTGATGAATAATAGTTATCCACTCTTTCGATGTAAGTGACGTGGACCCTCCATGTCGCAGGCCCTAGCAGTCGTCCCTGTAGCGATAAGCTTCTACCTTCTTGAAGATCGCGTAAACGAACCCCAGCCGCAATGTCCGCCTAATACTTTGCAACGACAAATGCGTGGCACGGAGCAATTAGTGTAAAGCACGCAGCCGATTACAATAGTTCCTGGTTTCAACCGAGCTTGATACACTGCTGGGTAATTTTTTTCACAAACATTTTGTATAGGCTATTTGCCATTATTGGCGTATTCTGTGCTGACTTTTGGTGTGTGAAAGTCATAACAGACTGTAATATGGTCTCTTTTTTTGAGAAAACTGAAAATTAAAATTTTCAAAAAGAAAAGACTCCAGAGTTTTTGATTAAATTTTGTTGTTGAATAGCGCAAAAGACCTTTAAGAGTATGGCACAGGTCTCATTTTCGTTGACATGCACGATTTTTCGAAAATTGTAAAAAGCAAATTTAACTTCAAAATTAGAGTTAAGGATTTTTGTTTCAGACAAAGTTTGTGTAAAAAATTAGCTCTTCAAACAAGGCCATGTTTAATTTTTTAAGAAAACTTTTTTACAAAACAAAAATCTTAAAACCCCTCCGAATGTTTCTTTAAATTTTCTTCACTTAAATAAGAGACGATAAAAATACGATGGTAGTCATATTTTTGGGTATTGCTGTTTTTTTTAATTAAAAAAAATTGAAACTGCAAAATTGAAGATAGAGATGTTGGCGTCTGTTAGTCTATTGTACAAAATAAGCTCTTCAAAAAAGTCATGTACAATTTTTTGAAAAACCGAGTAGTTTTTTTCTGCCTAATTTCTGCTTCAAATTAATGAAATATTTACAGGTTTCACACCAACTACGTTCCACTTTCCATTTATGGCAAAAATAGCGCTTTTAGGAAGAATTGATAAGAAAACATGTTCCCATTGTTGCCAGTGCCCATCGCTGCATGCACGCTTTGTTGTCAGCGCTCATCAGCTGAGATGTGTTGATATAGACAGAAATACGGTTTTATTATTATTTTTATGGTTATTAAATAATTACATAACCGTTACTAAGGGGCAGAAATCGTTTCACTGGTGGCGAGAAAAACTTCTGCAGTATTGTGCAGCTGGGAACGTATGACGTCGGTAAACTCTAAGTCGTATGTTCAACAAGAGGTTAATGATCAGTCAGGACTTCGAACAAATGGGACAACGAACACCCATTAAAGACTTTTGTTCTGATAATGAACAGCTCGCAGAACAAACACAAGCGTCGTTGTTTGTGACGTTTTTAAACCTGTATTTATGAATCGTTTTTGGAGGAGTGCCAGCGATAAACACAACGGGAATTACTTCCGACAAACAAGAAATAAATTATATTGTCAATAAATTATTCTTTGATGTTAAGCAAACATGACAGCTGAAAATGTAAAGCTGTATATGCAGTGCTATTATTACATACAAATCAATGTAGTAGTTAATTATAATACATATTAAATGTTTGGTTTAATGGTTTGTAAACGAAATTAATCAAAATTTCTTGACAAATTTATGATCACTTTACGGACAAATCGAATGGTGAATGTCATTTTATGAATAGACTACGAATATTTTCGTTAACCGAATAGTATTTTTGGCTAGAGGGGCGGATTTGGGTAGCATTTGGGAGAGATGTGCAATTTCATTTGACCGCAACCCCTCTTAAAGTAAAAAAAAAATACTTGAGAAAATTTTTAATGAATCTTTAATGAATCTTCGTATCGGGAGTACTCGCCTAGGTTATGTTGCGATCAAAAGACGATAAACATTTTAAAGTAGATTATGTAAACTTAAAATAGTGTGAAGGCTATCATGACCCTCAAGGTAATGCGAAAATCGCATGAAATGATCTCCCTCCACAGTGTCCTCGTATGTATTGTGGGAGGCGTTAGTAGAGTGAGGAACGTGTCTACAATTTACCTGATTACAGGTTAGTTCAGGATACTATTTTCTAAATCATAAGAAGAAATATGTAGACAATTAATATAATTTAATAAAAACTATATTACTCGTAGGCGGGAGTCGAAATCAAAGTGGTACAATTGTATTCCACATAAGGGAGTGGGAGTGACCACACTTCCTTCGCAACTAGCTTGACACAATGTCAGCTCCTAATATTGCATTTAAAATCGAATGCCACACCTTTCGCCTACTGATTTTTGCCTTTTGCCATACGGTTGACGAGGGAAAGACGAGCAGAGTAACCGCAAGGCCGCACCACACGAGGAGTCTGACAGTCACCGCTCACAGCGCCACCAGCGCCAGAGCGGTGAACGACAGCTGCGGCCGTCAGATGTAGTCGCTGTCGCCGTCGTAGTCTTCGTCGCCCTGGCCGTCGTCGTCGGCGACGTCCGCGCGCCACAGCGTGACGGGGAGCTGCACCGTCAGCAGCGTGGAGTCCTCCGCCAGCGACACGTCCACCTGTGCATCGCGCATAATCATTCACCCTACGTCTCCAGGAGTCTGTACTCCCATTTTTACTAAGGATGCGACATCGATGTACTCAGATGTGTTCGTAGAAACATCGATGAAACTTGCTCGCAGAAACTTGGATGTTTCATGATCGATATTTTTTTTTTTTTCCTTTTCCAATGTTTTGTTTCTTGGAAACTCAAAATAAAAGCACCAGTGGTGATGAGTCCGTTTGTTAACAAAATTATTATTATTATTAATAATAATAATAGTAATAATAATAATAGTAGTAATAATAATAATAATAATAATAATAATAGTAGTAATAATAATAATAATAATAGTAGTAATAATAATAATAATAATAATAATAATAATAATAATAATAATAATAATAATAATAATAATATGCTAGGTAGAATTGCGCTATTCGCAACATAGTTGTGCGGTGTAGGGTTATGGTACGGCGGTCCTTGCCAGCTGTTTCCAAAATCTCCGTCGCTAGTCAGAGGTTGCCTTTGTTCGATGCAAGATGTCTACCGCCCTGCGCCAGTGGTGGGGTCCACTGCTTGGCGCTTAGTATGGAAGTGGGGGAGGAAAGCTTCGTGAACATTCTTGACTGCTGTCTGCTCCGACATCTACCAGGAATTCATCGGAAGCAAATCGCTGTAACGATCGGTCAGAGAAGCCGGGCCCTAAACATTTCATCCTGGTAGCGACTCCGCGATAACCTACTTATCCGATATTCCAAATCATCACTGCGATACAAAGAGGTGGCTCAGTGCATCAACTGAAGTCGCTGCAGTGCCTCTGACCGGAGGTACTAGGTTCAAGTCCAGAATTTTCCACACAGACTTGTCAGCTAGGTCGAACTCAGTCGCTACCTGAAGGAGAATTGTCCCGGACCTAACAAACGGGACACGGACTGCGCGCGATCTTTCCTTCCTCTTCCTTGTCCTATCCTCACTTAAACTAACTTGCACAACACTACCACACATGCCGGGAGACTGGTCGGGAGCTTAGAACTAGTCCCGGCTGGGGTGTGCCTCACTGGTGGGAGATACCTGGCTGGGGAAAACCTGCTAGCCGAAGGAATGTCCGATCTTGCCATCCCGCGGGGGAACATCACCATCACCATCACCATCACCATCACCACCATCACCATCACCACCACCACCACCACCATCGCCATCACCACCACCACCACCTCTCAAGGAAAACATGAACTACACTTGCGGGAATAATCACAGTAGTTGGCGCGCCCGGAATCACTAATAACCAACCAAACACTGAATAATAACACCACTGGACTTTAATACAAACCTGAGAAATCAGGGAAGTTTCTAACCTTTTCTGTGTGAAGCTGCTCTTCAAGAATGTTCACGTTCAATTTTTTGGTGGTGTACAAATTTCAATGAATTTAAATCTAATAACTTTTAATTAGATCCCGTTGGATTGAACTATTTTCTTTGGTGCCTACCAAATCGCCTTACTTTTACACCCAACAGTGCTTTTCTCTTTTTCTTCCTATTCGATCAATAGGATCGAATCCTCGATCTCTCTTCGCTGGCGGGGCTCTCAGTAGACTTTAGAGGACGTG